GTGTCATCCATTGTATCCCAAGATGCGCCGTGAATGCATTGCGTTGCTCTTCGTCAAAGCTTTGCCCGAAGCCCATTATCCGATCCCTCTCCGCTACCATTCCATGTCCTATACATCTCTCCTTCTTTCTCTCATGCCATCCCTCGCCACCTATCTCGCGAGGGCACGACGGATCGGAGGGATCCTTGGTACCAGATGCCGAGATGCGCAATGTTCCACAGACTGCACGAAAAGAGAATCAGCACCGACCCTAGGGTTTGAGGGAGGGAAGGGTGAGGGAGGAGTGTGGGTTCTTCCACTTACACTATGGTACCGAGACAGATGACGACCAGGGCATCGGCTATCTCAGGGGGCACGGTCCAGTAGGCGTAGCCCGTGGGGAAGACGCCGCGCATCACAGCAAAGGAGATCAGCAGCGCGATGTACATCAAGGTGAGCACGAGCCGGACCAATAGGCACTGCGTGGTCCAGTCCCGGTTGTAGGTGGTTATCGACTTGACATCCAGCGCCGTGTCCGAGGTGAGGGCAAAGATGAGCGTAAAAGCGCAGGCGCTAGAGGACCAATGTTAGAGAATCCCCGTCCCAACAGTGATATTCCATGCGAGTGGGGGTTTTGTTTACCTTGCTTCCAAGCTGCCACTCTGGGCCTGGTCGTGGATAAAGGTGACCATGATGGAGACGAGGAGCACACAGATGATGCCGTGCGTGACGTCGGAGGCGACGCGGACGGTCCTTGCCATGGGACCAGCTTGGCGGTGCGATCTCGTCGGCATCTTCTCCTCGACCGAGGCAACCTCTGTGACAACCATCAAAGGCGTCAATTCGTTTTCCGTCGAGTCCCTGCATATCTGCGGTAGGTTCTTGGGGCGAGTGTCGACGCTGAGGTTCAGCGGAGGCGGTCTGCTTCCTCGAGCCATTGTGAGAGTTTTGCTTTGTTTATTGGTGTCGATGGTGATATTTTGGTCGTCGTCGGTTGTTGTTGCCCGAAATCCTGCTCTCCTTCCGTTCTTCGTTTGTTCTTTCTTGATCTTTTCCTCCCTCCTTCTTGAATATTCAACAAAAGAATTGGACAGCACAACGGATTCCAGCCGTATAACGAATGTATGTAATGCAGAATAGAATAAAAATGAATGGATGGGAAGATGGACTTGGCGTGCTTCAAAACGAGAGGAGGGAAGAGAAGAGAAGAGAAACTACAAAATACCCAAGTAGGTAAATGCAGATGTGGGCTAGCCAGATAAGGGGAAATGAAATAGAAGAGGAAACAAGAAAAGGGTGGGAGAAGAACGAACGAGCGGTTACTAGCCGGAGGCCATTCATTTAATGCATTACGGAGTACGGAGTATGTACGGATAGCTCTGGTGGTAAAATTAACGGCGCTAGCAATGGAGACAATCGAGAAACTGCGTTTTGACGATATCCATGGATATACCTGACACTCTGGTGATTGGCAGGCCATACATGCATGCGTTCGTTGGTCACGATCCTTGGCAGGGGCTGGGGGGGCTCGATGTTTGATCACCGCAACCACGTCGCAGGCCAACGAGCCCCCCCCCCATGGGTACAGGGATCCCCTACCCAAATCGTCAAAACGTCGCCCGCTGAGGTCAAACCATTTGGGTGTGCCTTGTTGGCGCTCCGGCGCACTGGAAGGGAGCCCGTCCAACCGTTGGAACCCCCTGTCCATTACAACGCCCAGGCCTAGCTATATCGCGTCGCAGGTAGGACAACATCGGGAGCGCGTTGGCACGATACGGGGACTCAGGACTACTGCCGTGGTTTCAAGCGTCCTTCTTATTCTCATCGCCGTGTCCGACAGTCAAAGCGTTGCCTCATCACATCTACCATACATACTACCCAGCAGTATGGGAAACAATAAAATATACTATACTTGATAGAATAGCATCTTGAAACGGCCCATCCTATCGCCACTCACTCAGTCGCTCAGGAGAGCCTCATATGATCCCCATCCACCAACCCACTAATCCCATGGATCTCATGCCCGGGCTTTTCTCCGCACGTATATTTCGCCTCAACTCGTGTGGTGTGAGACTCTATCGAGATTGGCTCAGACTTGCCTTTACTACGTCACCGCCGCTGCCCGCAGCAGGACATCGTGTGAAGAAAGGGTTAGCCAGAGTCGGCAAACACACAGTCCCCCCCCGAAGGTCCAGTGGGTAGCTTGCAGTGCAGCGGCTCGGAAGTATCTGTTTGTGTCATCACCGCCAATCTGCCCGACCCCGGACTCCAAGAGCACTTGCTCGATCTGGCGTCTCGAATTATGCCGAGATCAAGGTAGTTCCCTTGACTTTGCCGCTTTCCATTTTTGCTGTTCTAGCCCCAAACTGGATCTGCCGAGCCCATTAGCATCATGTTCAAACGCTCCACTGCTTTGCTTTGTCGCTTACGGCTCTCTTCTTCTCACGGGAGACTGACTTGAGGCCGAGCTGGCCAGCCAGCAGTCGAAGAACCCTCTTACCAGGCTCCACCTCGGTCGCGTCGGGACGGTCATAGTCGCACTTTTCCCATGCGGGCAGCTCCATAGCCCACTTGACGAGATGCTCATCGAGGTAGGGGAACCGAACCTCTCGCCCCCAGTGCGCCATGACTCGATCGTCACGCCCCAGGTTTCGCTTCCCCAGTCTACTTACGTCCAGCTTCAGTGCGTCGACCAGACCCGGATAGCCCTGCTGGGAGAAGGCCACGGCGTGCCGCCCATAGCCACCAAAGAGCTCGTCTGCGCCGAGCCCTGATATGAGCACCCGCGATGTAGTGGCATAAGGTACGGCCTGCGACTCGGGGCTGGTCTGGCCGACCCCTTGCCCTCTTGCCGCGAAGTATAAAGCAGTGGCGATAGACAAGTCCATCTCGGTATTGTGTGGGTGTAGCAGGCGAACGACTTCGTTGCGGTGCTCACATGTCACCGAGTAGGGTACATCGACCTTCAACCCCGTTAGTATACAGGTCCAGTACACCCAGGTACCAAGCTTACCGTGACAAAACGCCATAGCCGATCTGGACAAGCGACCGTGAGCTCTTCAAAAGCCTTCCTGCCAGTAACCCTGTCCGGGCAAAGCTCGTACAAGTTAACGTCGGGACTGCCCTTGTGCTGAGACGCGATCCGAGGGTTCTCGAATGCCACGTTTATCAGATCGATAAACTGGTCCGCCGGGATGATCATGCTGCTCAGACGAGCCAACACTGTACAGTCTAGCCCTCCGGAAAACAAAATTGCAATCCTGGCATCTGACGGGGATGCGTGCGGTGGCAGCGGCACATCGAGAACCCGGGGGCGAAGGGACATGTCTAGATACTGCAGGAGCTGCTGCACTGAGGGAGAGTCTCGGTGTAGTGGTTCACCACCCGATGTGCCTCTGTCAGTTTCCATGTTGAAAACACCGAGGCTTGACACCTAGAAGGGTAAGTAGCAAAATTTGGCTAATCCATGAGAATACATCCCTCTCTGGGTACTCACTAGCCTCTCGTCGTTGATCCAGTCGTGTCTTGTGACGGCCTCGTTCAAGGCCTTGCTCTCTTCTCCAAGATAAAGTTCGTAGCACCCGTCAGCCTCGACCTCTGCCCAGCTCGCATCGGAATCAGCGACGCTTGAGAACGAGAGCGACTCTCCGCCGCGAATGAGAAGCGACCGCCGGCCAAGTCTATCTCGGCCATAGTACAGCCGCTTGGTGGGTTTGTCGAAGAAAACAAAGGCAAACGGGCCCTCGATCATGCGCAGCGCATCTAGAACGCCCGTCTCACCGCTGTTCGAGGCACTGGACTCGACCAGGAGGGACAGGACGGCTTCTCCATCGTTTCCTTGGACAGCGTCTCCTCGAATCCTCCAGGCTTCTCCGTTCCAGCAGAGCACTGAGCCCGAAGCGCCATCTACCAGCGGCTGCTTCGTAACATGGTCGCCCCGTAGTGAGAGGACGGTGGATGTCAGCGTTATGAAGAGAGGACCACGATGCTGCTCGAGCGTCACCTGCACGGTCCCGAGGTGGTCAGGTCCTCTGTTCCTGAGGCGTCGTTCCAGGTCCGCTGAGATCTGGCCGAGCCCGGTTCTGGATACGTGTGCATAGATACCACACATCCTTTCCAAGGCCTTATTTATTCATTCCCTCAGGGGATGGAGTCAAGGGGATGGTGAGAGTGTGAGGACGTAAAGAATAGGAACCGCTAGTGGGGAATTTTATACACGCGACTGAGGCGCGATCTGTGGAAGCTACCCTGTAACGTGATGCTTCTGGAAGACGCATTAGTAGTCACCACGTGAATGAGACCCGATTAAGAACCTAGGTCTTGGTCGGTTACTTGGACGCCTTGTTATACTTTCCATTCGGATTTCGCGTTTTGATAGTCCGGCGCAAACCCAATTGCGGATACGTGATGACACCAGATGGGAGACGCCTTATATCCGCCTCACCACTAGTAAAAGTTTCCTCCCAAGCCTCCACGTGGACAACGAATTAGTAAGGTACTTAAGTATGCTATCTACCCATTCGTCCAGACTGCTCAACCGTAAGCATGTTAGAGACACATATTCACTTGCCTTACGAAGTTTATCCATATACCCATCCTCGCATTGTGGCACCCGGATTGTCCTTGCTCGATAGTGATAATTAAGAGCCTCACATCTCATACAAGTCCATCCGGTATGGTGTAGTGGCTAACATCGCTCGCTCTCATGAAAGAACCGAGCAGCCCAGGGTTCGATTCCCTGTACCGGAGATATTCTGATTCACTATCATTTTGCCGCTGTAATAAGCTAAAGTTTTGCTGGTCTTCCCTTCTTACCTCTTATCATCAGTGTGCCACTACTATTTGGCGCGGGTGCTACATGTTACCAAATCACGCGCTAGTGGGGCAGTGGAGGGGCAACTACCATTTTTTTTATTTTCCATCTCATCTGTTTGTTCCACCCTCACCTCCCCTCATTCGAATTCCCGCAACGCCAGCAATATTAGCGTCTTGAGCTTGGTCGTCCTCTAACAAATAATTCATCCGGTATGGTGTAGTGGCTAACATCGCTCGCTCTCATTAAATTAATGACCCGAGCAGCCCAGGGTTCGATTCCCTGTACCGGAGGACATACTCATCATTGGCTTCATCTATCCGGTATGGTGTAGTGGCTAACATCGCTCGCTCTCATCGAGATGTTCCGAGCAGCCCAGGGTTCGATTCCCTGTACCGGAGTTAAGTATGCCGAAGTTGGTGTGTTAAATCTTTTGCTGCTCAGAGCAAAAGACCTTTTGCCATCCTGGCCATCTATTACTTACACGCACGATACATGTTATATATAATACCTCTGTCAGCCTGGTTCTGTACCGACTACTGACAAGAGAGCACGGAGGTTTGGCACAAGTAGAGGCGGTGGATAGAAAATTAGGTATTTCTAAGCATCGGTTGAGAGGTGACTTGATGACTCCAAGAGAGAACAAAGCATCCTTCCCCTTGCCCTATAGCCTCTATCAGGCTTGGGCTCAACATCGCTGACTGCCTCTCCCCTGGGGGACCACTGTGAGAGCTTAACCATAAGGATAAATCAAAAACAAGCGAGCTGAGGAGAGTAGGCAGAATAAGCAGGCTAAGTACAGGCCGAGCAGGAAACTGCGACACAGAGCGAGTCTTCTGTCATCGCATTCGTATGCCCTCTTCGCATAATAACTAACATATTTGGCACCAAGTTGTGCAACCAATCTCTTTGTCGTAACTTCATGATAGGAAAACCAGTATTGATATGAGGTTAAGCAAAAGCGAATAAAAAACCCAGACATGTCGCGAGCAGTAGCCCAGGTTAAGTGGCTCTTGTCTTTTTTTTTTTGTCTTATCTTCTTCATTTTCATCTGCTGCTTTATTCTTGAAGATTCTGAAAGTCCATGTTTGCCCAGTCAAGGGACGAAAACAAGTCTTGCTGAGAGGCCTGGGAGAAGCCCAGGTTGGCGCTGGGCATCTCCACGAAGAGTGACTGGAATTCCTGTTCCTTATTCACATGGGAAGGGAACAATTGGAAATCGGCGTCGTCGCCAGCAAAGGTCTCATCAAATCCTTCGTCGACATCTCGCATCGAGTTGGGCGTGAACAGCATGGCGTTCTGTTGGCCGGTCGGCGAGAAGTGTGGTGGTGCAGAGACCTGGTAGGGTGCGGAGGGAATGGTGTGCGAAGGATAAGGGGCAAGTTGTTGTGGCATTTGTTTGTTGTACAGTTGCTCAGGTGTAGAGAGCTGAGCGGGGATGTGAACCGTGGCGGTGGCAGCATAGATATCCTCGTCATTGAGAATGAATGTTGACCCGTTCTGGTAGGGAGGGTAGTTGTCGTACGTGGCGGCAGAGCTAGGAGACGTGTTGTCTGCGCTCAGGTCCAAGTCCACATCCATATCCATGTCAATCAAGGTATCGATGTTGTTGGGCTGGAGACCGTTTGCGGCCAACCAGTCAGAGTCGGGCTGGTAGAGAGGAAAATCGCTGGCCATGGGGGCGAGTCCAGTCTCCTCAGGCGGAGTAGGAACGCTGTAGGCTGGGGTGGTGTCTGGGGTAGAGACATTGCCTAGGGGAGGAGTCTGCTGCTCAGAGATGGAGGCCTTGGCAAGACCCTTCTTGTTGGTCTTGGTTCGCACGTAGGTCCAGCCGTGAGCCTTCTCCATGTGCTGCTTGCAGTTGGACTCTCTCTTCGACTTGTATGGGCAGGGCTTGTAGAGACACTCGTACATGGCAGGGGCGTCCGAGTGCTTGTCGTTGATGTGGCGATCCATCTCCTTCTCGGTCGGCCACCCAAACTCGTGATACTTGCAGGTGGGAATGGGGCACTTCCAGGGGCGAGAGTGCGTCTTCTCGTGCTTGGTAAGGTCGCATGGCCGCTTGAACTCCTTATTGCAACCGGGCTCGCGGCACTTTTTGGGTGCCAGCTCCTCGGGGCTGGCGTTCTTCTTGCGGCGGGCCATGGAGCGCATGATTTCTTCCTCGTCCTCGCGTTGCTCGCTGAGCGAGCGCTTGAGTTTGTAGGGTGATTCTTCCAGGTCGACGGGAAGACCCGTGGCCATGGAAATGGCGGTGCCGTCCTTCTTGACGCGAATAAGCTCTGCGGGACGGCCGGTCTCGGCAATGCCGCCATAGAGTTTGATCTCATCATCCCTTTGGATACAATTAGCTGGGTTGCGTAAAGGAACAAGCCGGGATACGTACTGGTCAACATCCATCTCGTTGGTCACGTCACCCTTTTTGACGTCGGCCAACAGTCGGCCGTACTGGTAAATTTGTTCCTTCAAATCGATAAAGTATCCGTTAGTGTAAGGTCGATCGCCTGGGCGTACTTGCTCGCGGTCGCTGATGTATTCGACGGTCGCTTGAATGCAGAGAATGGATGTAAGGCAGAAGTCGAGGTACAAGGCCGAGGTCTTTGCCTTATCCTTTACGCGCAACGTCCTATAAGCATTTCCCCAAACTCCAGCATCGGATTCGAGTTCACTTACCGGCGCCATGAAGATGAGAGTCTTCTCAAGATCACGGAGGCATATGATTTCCTTGTCGCGGATACGTCGCGGAACGTCGAGCACAATAGGCTCGAAATCCTTGAGACTAGGCTTCTCAAGGAGGGGGCGAAGGACATGTCCTTGGATGCGGCTCACGGCCTTGGAGCTAAGGCTGGGCAGAGCGGCGGCGCTAGAAGCAGCGGAGCGGGTGATGGCCGAGACAGACTTGGCTACCTTGGCCACCTCGGCGTCCTTGTCGCTAGCGGAGGCGATGGAAGTGCCCAGGCCACTGTCCGAGGCATGGTGCCTGCTGCGTCGGACGGAGCGAGGGCGAAGAACCCTCCTCTCGGCTTCCTTGGCCATGGCGGGATCAACGACGGGGGCGTCGAGGAAGCCCCGAGGGATGGGAAGGCTGGTGTCGCGCAGCGACGTTGGCCTTGGGCTCTTGGGCAGTGTCGAGGAACCCTCTGCTGTGAGGGAGAGAGCCTCGTCAATGTCGTTGAGGGTCAAGGCGATGCGACGACGGTTGGCATCGACGACATCCTCCATGAGGGTTTGAGACCGAGGCAGGCCAGGAGGGGTGAAGTCGAGCGAGGGCGAGGTAGGAGAAGTAGGAGAATGGAAGGTGGCACCCTTACGGAGGGCCATGCTAGCTTTAAGAGCAGCCTCACTGCTCTCTGCTCCCAGACGAGTCACCGGTGTCCTTCGGCGTGGGTTGACGCAGGAAGACATGGTCGAAATAGTCCTATCTGGGGTGGGGGGTTTGATGGGGGCGTGTGCGAAGGATGATTATAGCCACACGAGTCCTTGACCTGCGCCGGCAAGAGTAAGGTTAGTTTACCCCTGGGACAACTTGAGGCAAGGCTCTGTGCAAGGCGGGCATGTGAGTCACAACGGGGTAGATTGAGTTCGTTCCACACGCCAAACGAGATGAAGGGCGCGAGAAGTGGTGATGGAACCGTGACACAACCAAGCCGTCGACAGGAGCGAACGGACGGGCGGGATAGATGGAAGATGAGAGAGAGGCAGAGAAAGATGGCTTATCTGTCCTTACCCAAAGCTGATTGGGGCCGAGACGCCGAGTCTCCGTTGAGACGACAGTATAGACAGATCAACGCAGGTGACGGGGAGTTCGGAGGGCGCGGCTTGATCGATGTCGATGGAAGGCAAGAGAACAAGCCGCGAATAATAATCAAACAGGAACCGAGCGAACGGGTACGAATTTAATCGACCGCAGCAGGGGCAATAGACGCTGATGCAATGTAGAAAAACCCAGCGGCGATATGTAGAAGCTCGTCGAGCGCGTGGCAAGCGATGTTGGATGGGTTGGCGAAGGACTGAGGATGCAGGCGGTCTGGAGGGCGCAGCAGATGGTATATGAGACGAGAAGCGCTGTGCGGAACGAGCGCGGATTCCCGGGAAAGTGCAACGCAGGTGGACAATGGATGAGAACCCTCTCGGCAGCGAGATTCTGGTTGACAATGACCACTGCAGACGAGGAGCGAGAGGATCAAGAGGAAAAAAGGCAGCCTCAGGCGGGAGGAGGAGCTTGAGGGTTGGAGGGTTGGAGGGTTGGAAGCAGAGGGAGAGAGGGAGAGAAGGCGGAGTGGATGTGGTGTATTATGGAGCAGTGTGCTTAGCAAACAGGAAGATGGGTTCCATCTCAGCCCACAGCAGGCTGCTGCCTGGAGCGTGCCCCCCAAAAGGGATTAGCGGGATGCGGATGTGGTGAGGCGTAGTCCGCATTATTCAGGATAGTGATCCTAGGCGGTGGACCCAGCGGTGATTGTTAAGCCCAAGGGCAGCAAGGGACGCCAGTGGCTAGCAAGAGCCTCCAACGGATACAGTGCGCCAAAGGAAGCCAGCAGGGTGCGCCAGCAAGCCCAGCGACAGAACTGGCACTGTAGAGCCCGCCCGAGCGTGTTTTGCAGCTGTGTACAGCCCTTAGCACGGCACTATCCCTAGCCCGCCGGTGTTTGCAACAATACCCGCCAGACGATGCCCCCATTTTAGACTCAACTGAAAGGCAGCCGAATTCTCAGAGCCGTCACTCGCCCAAACATTTCCCAGGACCTCGACGGGCCCGGACGTTTGCGTACCACGGCTGGCGCGTTCCCAGGTCATCTCGGTTCGCGCCCCCAAGGATACCACGTCACCCGATGATGTCCCCCCCTCCCTTTGGAGTCGTGGTAAATGTCCCTGAGCAATTTTTTTCACCTCTCTTGCTTGTGTCTCTGGTCTGCACGTCCGCAGTCTTGCGTCCTGCTTCCCTCCCCGGCGTGCTTCCCCAGCATCTGGGGGTCGTGTCCACGTCGCTGTCATGGTCATGAGCCTATGGAAACGCCTTATGCAGGGGATAGACGGTTTGATGGGGCCACTGTGGCTGGCGGTACCGATAGTTTGTAGCCCATCTCCGCGTCAGACGAAGTACCGACCAATTGAGCTCACCCACGTCTCGCTGGTTCTTACCACTGGCTTGGCCTAGCCTACCATCACTCGAGCACATCACCAACAGAGATCTGCAGGGCTGGGGTCTGGCCCCAGTTGCAGTGCCATAGCTACACAGCCGCCGAGGGGTGCATAGCCAACCAAGACGATGCCTGTTGGTTCGGCGTCTTGA